GATAAAGCCATTTAATAGTTAAAGGCAGTTTAATTTTATAAAGAACACTTTAAAACGTTTTGTGAATTGTTTGTGGTTGAATTTTACCTTAAATTGAAGCTTGTATTACGTATAATTATAAACCTAACATATATATGTTGGAAAATTGATAATTTTGTAATTAAAAGTGATATTTTTAGGCGATTTTCATTTGTAAGAATAATCTTAAAAAATTATCGTGTTACCATGACAACTACTCTAGATACTTCCTGTTCGGAAAATACAGCGGTTTTGTCAGCAAGGCGACTAGGCGAGGGTTTCTGCATGCATGTATTTTCTAGTAATTTGCATAAAAATGTTCGAGACAATTGTAGTTTAAACTGACTAAATTGTTTTAAACTGATTGGTTGATTTAATCATCACAATGTTTTTCCACCAATCAGATCAGTTTGTTACAGATTTTTGCACTGTGATTACAGAAAATTGCACTGTGATTACAGAAAATTGCACTGTGATTACAGAAAATTGCACTGCTGTTTGGGATTAACTGCACTGAAATCAACCAATCACAATCGAGTAAAATCTTTATGTATATTATTAATTTTATAACATCATGTCTGCATCGGAAGTGCACATGTTCGATTGACAGTTTCATATTCATAATATAGTTGCGAGAACGTCTTCGAATTTGAGTGTGTAAGAACATTTTGCAGTGTGTAAGAACCACGAAACAACCGATTAGGTTATACACGTACATCGTTTCAAGCACCATTAAACACTACTTACAATTCTGTGTGCTCTATAAACCAACGACACAGATAAACCCCAACAGCAATAAATGTCCATATAAAGTTGATAAAACGTTCCGAATACGTTATCCCGCGCAGAAGCCTGGTTCTAATTTTAGTACTATCGCTGTCCGATTCAATTCGCAACATACTCCCCCCAGTGAACGTACCTAATGACGTTCACTCTCATGCATAACAAACTTGCGACAATATGTAATGTAATGTTAACTTCGTATTACTTCGTAAGTAAACCTTAGTTCTTCCTTTCATCAACGTCAAGCTGCGTGCTCTCGAGATAGCATAGTTTGCTCATTGGTCTTACCAATGTCGTCGATCTCGTCATAATCTTGGCTACACGACCATCCTTCTCAGTATGTACCTCGGTAACTCTGCCCAATGGCCACTGTCCACGATGCACGTTATCTTCGACAACTAGTACCAAATCATCAGACACTAAATTTCGTTGAACCTTGTTCCGTTTTGTCCTCTGTTGTAGCGTTTCTTCTTCCATTCCGACTCGAATGAAGTTTGTCCTGAATTGGTTTTCTCTGTCTTATACTGGCTCTGTAGGTCCGAACACAGTCCATACCAGGGGTGATCTAATCGCGTATGGTTCTCCTCTACCACCGCGCCCTTCTTCCAGGACCCAGAACGCTTCAGGCACGTCGCTTCCGATAAGAATTCTCACTTCTTTATCCTCAATACTATGCAGCCCGATGCCACTTAGATGTTTCCAATGCTCTATATCTTCTGCTGTGGCGATACTTCGTTGGGAAATGTTCAATTCATTCACAGTCCACACCCTTTGTAGGTCTAAAGCATCGTTTCCATCCATTGTCTCGATCCTCAGCTGAACTTCTAAACATTTTCTTCTGCTATCTCGCTTCTCTTGCGTGGTTAACGAAAACTTCCTTTCGATTCCATCTAACTCCAGCTCTCGTACTAGTTTCTGGTCGCAGAGAGTTACATCCGAGCCATTGTCCAGGAACGCATAGGTTTCGATCACCTTATCACTATTCCTTCCCTTAACCTTAACCGGCACAATACGCAGACGAACACCGCAGCTTCTGTTAGTTACATTACAGTTACCACCTTCGGGATTTCCATCTTCTAAGTGTTCATTCCCCTCGTTCGTTGGTCCTGGTAGATCTCTTACAGCTCTTCGCTTGGGATCTTCTTGCCTTGGAGGGTGGAGAAGGGTGAGATGCTTTCTGTTGCAACCGGTAACCTCACATGAGCTTCCTTTCATACAGTCCTTGGCCATGTGACCATCACTGAAGCAGTTGTCGGAAAGCTTAGCCCGCCGAACAATCTTTATTTTCTCCACATATGGTTTCTTCTTAAATAATTAGCATTTCGTCAGCGAATGCCACCCATCGCAGGATGGACATTCCGTTTTTGCATAGTTCTCCTTGGACTTGGGAACGACGTTTTCGTCCCGGTTCGGCAACTTCTCTCCATCTTCTTCTGCTCGAATATTAAAGTTGGATTTTGTTCTGGTTTCTGCTGAGAAACCTTGTTCCGGTTTTGATTTCTTTCGTCAAAAAGAATTCCAGCAAACACGGGATTATTGGCGGTCTTAGCTCCGGCCATAACGTAAGGCTTGAGCTTTATCCAACCATTTGACTCTCAGGTGGTAGGGCAACCTTTGGACTATTCTATTATGATTATGATTACGATTATGATTATGACTATGATTATGAATATGATTATGATTATGATTGTTCATGATGGTGATGATGATGATGATGATGAGATGATCGTCATCGTCATCGTCATCGTCATCGTCATTATTATTATTATTATTATTATTAGAACATCTTTATACACGGTACCTTCATTAGGCCGTGTAGTTACAAACAGAAGAAGAAACTCCCATCCACCCTCCCCAGATAATAACAGTAAAATATTCACACTCAAACCCCACTGACTAAGATACGAATGATTTCTAGCAACGATTCTCACTTTCTGTCCTAAAATAGCCAATGAGATATAGATTTATTTACAGTTTTGTAGTGAGCTTCGTTCAAAAACGAACGTAAAAAGGGATATCTGCAAAGTTAACCGATTGTAATTAAGGAAAATGGGGTCTTGTACCCATATGCATATAAAATGTAAGATAAGTAAAATTTATAGTAACGCAAATAAGCGTTTTAGACCGAGAATCGTTAGTGAGCATCGTGTAATATGAGACGTATGAAATTTGACTACTTGCTGCGTTTTGAACTGTGCTATAAATCTTATACTGAAAATGAAATTTAGCTTGGAAATGGCCCCAGTTCTCAAGTATAAGTTTGTAAAAGGCTAAAACAATGCATGTTTATTTGTCTTTCCCTGCAGTTTGATATGTTATGAGATGAGATTTAAACCTACCCGACTCACAAACCGATTATTTCTGAATAGTTCTGTTCCAGGCTCGTCGTAATTATGGTCTTTTGCATCATTCGAAAGACAGCATGTAACTTTTGAGTAAATATCCGCGGATTTTTCACGAGGAAGAGAGCTATGATGACATTAGACGTGAATATAAATGTCCTTACTAAGCATCATAGCTAGTAGCACACGTACCTGTATTGGTATATAAAGTGTTAAAAATGACATTCCCCCGGAATGAATGGATAGTATCTAAAACTACCAAAACTTGCCCACATATACTTCGATACTGGAATGCATGTTATTGGGCGGTATAAACTTAAAACTAAAACGTTTAATTACCAAATTCCAAACACCATTTATCAACTCCAAGGCAATCTTTGCCAGAAACTATGGGACAGCTGCTGTAATTTCATATATTTTAAAAGAAATAGCGCCCCCGTTCCCCCAGTTCAACAAAAATCAAAAAAAAATTGGGCCAACAAAAATCTGATGTCTGGATGCTCGGCGCTAACATTGAAACGGGTGGGGGGAGGGAGGGTGGAAAATATGTATCAGGAAATGGTATATTACAACCGAATACATGTGAAAACTAGATTGTCTCAATCTATATTGTCAAAGATTGTAGCTCGGCCACTAACAAGCCCCCTAACAACGTCTGCGCAGGAGGCTAGCCGGCCGCAAGCGTAGACTTGCTCCAAGTCTCCTTTCATTGTCATATAGTATCGATCCACTATAGTGTACATTACATGACGTAGCACGGAGAGGCGGAGCGAGAAAAAGAGACTTATCAACTTCGGAAAATCTCGGTTCAAAACTGAACCGATAATGCAAGACTTGCTTAATTAATTGAGGGGAGGCAAGGGGGGGGGGGGTCTCGTCACGAAATTACGAAGATCATTTTCAGATTTCATGAGTCACGAAAAGCAAAATTTCATTTTCACGTGTTTTAGAAACACCTGAGAAGCGTAACAAAGTCTGAAACCATATTTTACTGACTTTAACATTAGAGCTTTTAAAGGACTGTGGAAATCATTGCGAGGCATCACGAAACATTACGAGCGTCTTACGATGGTTCACGAAATCTACGAAGAGGTACGAAGGTATACGACAACGACGTTTACGATGAAACGAAGAAACCTCAAGAAAGATAACCGCGGAAAGCAAATTTATTCATTTTTGAACTTTAATATTAAATTTGGGCCAACGTAAACATTCACAAGTTAGGGTAAAATATTGGTAAATTCAGGACCCTAGCTAGCCCTTTCAGCTCCTTACGATTCACGGAATGGTATTTCTTCAAATCACGAATCACGAAGCACGAATAATTGCTTGAGTCACGAGTCACGAAAATACCCTGCACCCCCCCTCTTAATTGTTTTCCTTCAATTTCTTTCTGTAGTATATTTACTATAATGGAACTCATGTTATTTACAATGTGCTAGATCAATACATATAAACACTGACAGAAAACAATTATAGCCAAGTCTTGCATTTTCGGTTCAGTTTTGACTGACTGAGATTTTCCAAAGTTGACAAGTCTCTCTTTCTCGCTCCGCCCCTCCGTACTACATCATGTAATGTACACTATAGTGGATCGATACTATTATACAATTACTTTATGGTTTCCGTGTTTGGATGGCCTGATCCAAACACGCGGGAATGTTGCGAGAGTTAAGAAAAGCGAACGGAAACCATAAAGTAATTGTTTTATAAAATAACAACAACACGGTAGTCTTCCGTGTTTGGATGGCCTGATCCAAACACGGCTTTCGACCAATCAGAATACGCGTTATATACATGTTATTTTATAAATGACAATGAAAGAGAGACTTGGAGCAAGTCTAGAGCAAGCGATGCAAACGCATCCTGATATTGGCTTGATGATCGCAAGTTGCAGCAAGTATGCAGCAGACCTGGCTTACCTGCTGAAACTTACGCGTTTCTGGTTGTGTAAATAACCAGACTGGACTTTCAGTCGACTTGAGTAGAAAAGTATTCATCTGTATATTAATGACTTAGACTGTTATGATTATATCTGAAATGTATAGAACATAATCTATAGCTGTGTTTACATCGCACTTCCTTGAAGTCTGTCGCGGTGCTTTTGAAATTGCATGAATATATAATTTCAAAAGCACCGCGACAGACTTCATAACGAGTTTCAACGACTGTTTCCGCTTATTCTGCTTCGCGACGTTGGTACGTTCATTTCTTCCACTTTCATAACGCAGAATCGAATTAAAGAGCTTCCTCAACTAAACAAGATGTTTTTAAAGCGTTTTAATGTTGTAATACTGACCGTGATTTTGCTGTTTCTCCAAGGTACGTTTTCTGTCGTTTCTGACATGCATTTATATTTCATGTGCTTTCAAACATGCACGCAGTCACTTTCGTACTGAATCTACCCCCATAATAAGTGGCAATGATTGTAAATCTATACAAGATGCTCCACAGAGCATTAAATTACCACTAAAGAAGAGCGCTTTTTTGTTTTCGAAAATGTCGAGTCTTGAAGTTTGCAGTTTTGCTAAAAGTTAAAACAAGTACAACCATGTACCAACGTTGTTTTAATAGTCATACTGTGTACAGTATAGTATAAATATATATATATATATATATATATCAAAATAAGGAGTTATTAGCACCATCTAACCCATATAAGCCTAATAAACTGGAAGGTGAAGGCTGCTACAAATGTGATGCCAAGCGCTGTGATAGTTGTAAGAACTTTTTGATTTTTGGCAATTCCTTTCGTGCAGCTGCCACTGGAAGGATATTTCTCATTTTAAAATCTTTGCCGTGCACTTCACTTCCAGTAATGTAGTGTATCTTGCTGAGTGTGTGCTTTGTGGTTTGCAAGGTGTTGGCTCTACAGCCAATTTTAAGTCCAGACTAGCTAACTACAAATCACACATTAAGCATAAGCGCCGGACATGCAGTATAACAAATCATTTTATTGATGTGCATGAGGCGGATCATTCGAGCTTAAAATTTATGCTTATTGACCAACCCCATAGTGAAGTACTTAAGAGTGAAAACTTTTGGATAGGAATGTTGTTGACCAACCGGAAAGGCCTTAATGGTAGTCATGATTTCGCCCAACAATAGTAATTTATTCATAATTTATTGTATATAAGTATGTTCTGTGTAAAGCTATAGGCACTCTGAAGAAGGCTGTGGCATGCAGCCGAAAATTTAGTTTTTGTATTTAATATACCTTTTTTTTAATAAACTTCTTCAAACGTAGCCGTTCTGTTTGTTACATATGAAGTCTTGTCGGCTGAGCAGAGTACTGGCATTTGTCACATATATATATATATATATATGTTTGTGGTAATGACTTTAGAGTTTTCCCACGCAATCTCGTGTTTGGTGTAACATACATGTTCGGCTAAAGCTGATTTTCCCTTGTCTAAAGGTGAAGCTTTAGACAAGGGAAAATCAGCTTTAGCCGAACATGTATCTTACCCAAACAGATTGCGTGGAAAAACTCTAAAGTAATTACCACAAACAATCGCTATGGTCAAAGACTTTGCCTAGAAGCGTGGCATATAAATATGAGTAATCATGCTTTGAATAGGGATGACGGTGCCTATTTGCCAGACGAATATATGCATCTCATTGGCAGGTGACGCCATCCCTTGGGTATTTAATAAGCCACGATTGCAATTTTAGATCACCCCTGATGAAGACACTAGACTGGAGTGTCGAAACGTTGGGTCTTGATTACAATTCGACTGGGCTTTGTAATCATTTATTTAAACCAGAGTAGCGAGCGAAACATGATTGATATACCTGGTTGCAGTGAACGAACAAACTTTTCACCAAATGTTCGCCAGTGCATGCAAAATATAGTAAAGTTGTAAAATTGACAAACAATAAAATAATATAAGAATTAAGTTCTTTGTATGTTTGCATGGCGATAAAACATGTTTTGTTTGTGGAAACACCACGTAAATTTATTACTGCAGTAACAAATTTACGTGGTGTTTCCACAAACAAAACTATTATAATATAAGAATTATTCAGGAAAATCTTAAATCACGGTACCTTTACGCTTTAAATTTTGAGTTATGGTACTGCTGGTTTTAAGATATATTTATGAAAATATAATTTTTATACAGTAAAATAGTTGTTCTAAAAAGTCGTGTTCGGAAATTTTTGTTTATATTTTGTCATTCCGCGGATATGACGATTTCTTTGACGACTCCAATATATTTCTGAATCTTTGAGTGAATTGCTTTGAGTGAAGCCGAACACAATTTTGTTATCAGTGAAACTGACGTCTACTTTAGCTATGTCCTGTTATAATTTGAGAAAAATTCGTTAAAACCCACAGGAGAACAACTCGTTTGAAAATTAATAATTGCCGTTAAATTCTTCGGGAGAAAATTGAATTTGAATATTACATTTTCAATGTTTTTCTTAT